TAAATATTTATATACATATAATTTTTCAGCCTAAGACTAATATCTTAAAAAAATATGTAAAATATAGTTTTTAAATGTACTTTTAAGGTTCAGAGTCTGCAGTTAGGAATCAAATCAAAATTCAAATTATTAAAATATACTACCCTGCAATTTTTTTATAAAGACAAGAAATTTATTTCTTGTTATTTACAATTCGACGCCTAGTGGCTGATCTTTATCATCAAAAACAGCTTTCAGAAGGATTTCAGTTTTGATTTTAAAAAGAAAAAAAAGAACAAAAATCAAATCAATCATCTTTAGAAAAATATCTATTAAAAACTCATCATAAGAAAGTCCAATAACTCAAGATCTGGTTGATTCTGGAAATGTAAGCAAATCAACTGAATCTACTAATACAAATAAAACTATTCAAACAATTGAAAGATTGACTGAAACTGCTGCTAAGTTTTTTGTTTTTGTTGTAAACTAATTTGTTCAAATCCAATTATGTTGACTCAAAATGGTGGTAATGATTGGCGCTATATTTCACAAATTTTAAAAAGACACTAAAAAAGTCTTGATCATTTTGACTGCTACAACAAGTGGTTGGATCTGAAAAAGAGATTCCAAAAAGCAACTTTAATTGATAAAATTTTCGATAAAAACTAAATTAAAGATATAGATCATTTAGATATTGTAATGAGAAAATTAATTTCCTTAACTATTATGATGGCAAAGTGAAATCTGCCACTCAGAGGCTCTTGTGACAAAGTCTATCAAGATAATAAAGGGAAGTTTCTAAAAATTTTAAAACTTTAGGCTGAATTTGATCTAGTTATGGAAAAACATCTGTTGAGAAAAACAAAAACAAATTCTGTGCACTATCTAGCAAAAGATATTCAAAATGAAATCATTGACTTGATTAGCAAATCCATTAAATTTAAAACTTGCTCAAATCTTTGTGTATTTTTCAATTATTGTTGATTGTACACCAGACATCAGTTACTAGGCGCAAATGTCAATGCTAGTTCGATATGTTAGTGCAGAGAATAAGAACCAAATTCATATTAATGAAAGTTTTCTTGGATATTTAATTGAAGGTTCGACAGGACTTGAATTATCAAATGAGATTATTGACTCTGGCAAAAAATAATTTGTCAGTGGAAAACATAAGAGGTCAGAGCAGACAATCATGCAAATATGAAAGGCATAAAAAATGGTGTTTTATTCTACAGGCTTTTATTCTTCAAAAAAACAGCCAAACGGTTTATATTCTATGTAGTCACACATTAAATCTGGAATTTGTTGATTCTGTGAGATGTTCACCTAAAGTTGTAATTTTTTTATATATAATTGATCAATTTTTTCTTCTGCTTCAACAAAAAGGTTTTGCAATCAAAGTTTCCATCTTTAACAGTTAAATAGTTAAGTGATACAAAATGGGAAAGAAAAAACTCTTCGATTTGAAATGGCAAAAATTTTGAAATTTGCAAAATTGGAAAAACTACAGCAGAGTCTATTGCTTTAAAATTAACATGCTCCGATTTTTTGTCTTTAATCATAATTTGGCATTAAGTTTTATTCAAAATTAATTTAAATAGCAATTAACTTCAATCAGCTTCAATTAATATTTTAAAGGCTTTAAGAGCATTCGAAAGAATAATAATTTTTTTTTTATAGAAAATTACAAACAGGAAAAATTTGACTCTTTTTGTTGTGTGTATTGCACAAGAACTTGCTTCTTTTTTAAAGGTAGAAGAAAGTTTTGCAGCAGAATTTGAGTCTATTGTAAGAAAAAAAAAGAAGTTTTTTGATGACCTGAACAAAACTTTGAAAAACAGTCCAAAAGGAAAGTATAAAAAAGATATTTTTAATAAAATATTAATTTTTTTCTTTTTTTTAATTATTCACCTCCACAAGGCCCGTGGGGGCCACTAAGTCGAGGAGGCTACTCATTTTTTTTTTTTTTTTGTTAATCGTGTTACAACCCTCTCTCAACTCTTTAACTCTGAAACACGAACCTTGACAAGCAAGGCCGCTGCGCAGAGAAATTAAGTTAAGAGTGGTACTTTCAGGGACGTCGTGGGAGTCGAACTTCGAACCTCTTGCTTACAAAGCGAGCACTCTTACCACTACACCACTACCGCATGTGCTATACCAAATGTGCTACTATTGCAATAGAAGATAGATTATGGTGTTATAAGTTAGGTATGGTGTCACTCATATAGTTAAAAACTAGTCAATGGAGTGACATTTTAATAAAATTCACAAATAAAATAAAAAATATTAAAACGGGAATAATAAAGTAAACTACATTAATACAAGTATTAAAAAAGGAAGTAATAGGAAAAATATTTAAAAAGTTGGAATCAGAACAAAAATATAAAGGAGTAAGGCTAAGAAAAATGAAAAAAAAAAGAGAGAGAGAGGAGAAATGAGATAAGACGAGTAAGAAAAAATGATTAAACAAAAATTTGAATTAGATAATTTCAGAAAGATAAAGTGACAGAAAAATTTTTCTGTCACTTTAAAGCAAAATAAAAGTTTTAATACAAAATAAATATATACATACACTACTATTTACAATATTAAAGTCTGTATTACGCATTATATAGATTAGTTAAACAAAAATGTATATCAAGATATAAAAAAAGTAAATTCACAGAGAAAAATGCAAAGAAATAAATACATTCAACATTTTTTATATACATAAATACACGACATATAAACAATGTACAAAATTAATTAAAATTGTTCTCTTTAATTTCTTTACATTAAATATTGGTGGTAGAAAAAATTTTATTTCTTTTTAATTATTATCCATATTTAAAGACTTTTTTTTTTTTTTTATTTGTTTCGTTTTTTTTTTTCTTGTTTTTGTTTTTTGTTTTGTTTTTTTATCAAAATCTTGTATTCTTGTTTATACACTTATTTTTAAAATTTTATTATCAAAATGTTTTTTGAGTTACTTTTTGTTTTATTTTTACTTTTTTTAATAATTTTTTTTTTTTGTAACTTTTTTTTTTTTTAAACTTTTTTTAATAATTTTTTTTTTGAAATCTCAAAAATAATTATTTTAAGTTATCCAATGAAAATGTCAAAATTATTAATGAACATTTTATCAAGCTTTAAATTTGATTTATGGTCCTTTTATAAAAATGCTATCAAAGAATTCATCTTAAAAAGTCACAAAAAAAATTTTTTTTAACGGTTGCGTTAGTTACAATAAACTGCGATATCTATTAGCAATACGGTTGTTTCGAATTTCATTTGTTTTCTTCGAATTTGTCAAAGGATTTTTTGTGTTCGATGATCGAGTTTTTAAATATATAAAATCTCATTTTGTTACGACTGTTTTTAATTAACACTGGTAACAAAACCACTTAAGCTTAAAAAAAGTCGTAAGTATACTTCAATATAAATTTATTATTTGTTTTTATTTAAAAATTTATTTCTTGGAACTAAATTTGAGTTGTTGCAAAACAATAACTTACAACGATTATGTGGAGTTGTTGATAACAAGCTTATGTTTATTTTTTAAGTAAATTATATTATAAAAATACATAATAAAAAAATAATACAGTGAAATTCTAGATTCTAGAATGTCACTGTATTATTTAGATAAAGTAAAACTTAGATTTACAAGTTCACAAAATAAAAATGAAGTCTGTTGAAAATACAATAAATACTTTCTAGAATCTAGAAAGTAAATTGAAACAAAGATTTTGAAGTGGCATTTGTCTTTTTTGTTGCTAAAAATAAACCAATTTTTCCTCTTTGATATTTTCAATGAACTCAGTTATAGGTGTCATTTTGCCTAATTTGAAAGGTTAAGAAAGCGCGAATTGAAAACTTTAATGTTTAATTTTCATAATTAGTTAATTATTTAAGAAATCGTATTTTGAAACTTAATTCAAATTGGTACAAAACAATTTTTTGTATAGATATCAAGCGTATCATTATTTTTTAATATATAAAATTATTTGATACAAGAATTAACGAAACGTTTGATACTTTGAGAGCGTCTGTTACTTTAGCTTAAAAGTACAGTGAAATATCAAATATATGACGTAAAAAAATATATTTATAAAATGATTCTGTGAAATAAAGATTTTAACGACTTCTATTATTTATTTTTTTAAATATTTCTAAAACTAAAATTTTTCAATTTATTATTATGAATAAAAAAACAATTTTTTTTAGTTAGAAATTAAGAGATTCGTTGTTTGTTGTTGTTATTTTTTAACATTAAATTGATTTAAAAAGTTGTTAATTGATATTTGTTAATTAGCTTTCATTCTGCGATTTAGTATACTATTTTTATAAATTTGTCTTTAATTAGAGTGAACAAAAATTTTTGGTATTTTTGTTCACTCTAATTAAACGGAGATTGCATCACATAATATATTTTATAATATAAAAATACAAATTTTAAATAGTTTATATTTTATATCATAAAACATAATAATAGTGAGTTAATTTTTTTTTTTTTTTTTTTTTTTTTTTTTTGCATTTCAAATCAACGTTGAAATCGAATATTTAAACTCTCACTCTTCGAGTTTTTTATTCACATAACTTATTTTAAAAAAGATAGTCGAAGGAAATTTTCGAAATTTAATTTATTTTTACCAAGTCGATTCACAAACTTTAAAATCTAATTGAATAAAGTACGATTTCTTCATTTGTTATTAAAACAAGTGAACGATGTTGTTTTTGTGAATTTAAATCAATTTCTACGTTTGTTTGGAATGCATTTTTATTTATTTAAATTAATTTGTTATATATTATTTTAATCATTTATATTTACATTAAAATGAATTTATTTTGTTTTAAAAATGTGATAAAAATTAAATTTAAAAAATTAATATTTAAATATATGAAAGATAAAATATCATTATAATTATAAATTGATATTGATTTATGTATTAATATGTAGAATATTATAATGTATATGATATTATAATTTCGATTATTATTTTAATTTTTTTTTAATTGTTATTTTATATTTATTTTTTCTTTAGATCGTCTACTTAAATTATCTCGTCAAAGTAAAAACGATTATCTACTTAAATTTATAATAAAATATATTCAACTTGCAAATTATTACGATAATTTATTCATTGAATGTTTTTATGAAAGTCAATCATCATTAACTGATAAAATAAAATTAATCGTCGATGAACGAGAGTGGATGATTTCGATTGACGATGGAAAAACTTCTTACGAAACTTCTTGTGAAAATTATTTCGTAAATCATTACATTAAATCTGGAAGAAAGTTATCGTGGTTAAGTGTTGATAAGAGGTTAAGTGTTTATAAAAATATTTTAAGTGATGAAGAAAAAAATCTTATAATTCAATGTTCAACAAATGTTCGCAATGTCGAGTTTTGGTGTCCAATTAAATTAGAAGGATGGAAACCGAAAGATAAGATTGAAGGGTTGTTGATAAAAATCTCACCTTATTTAATAACGAAAAAAGATTTTGAAGAAAATTTTCTTCCGTGGATTAATCTTTGTGAAAGATTATATCTTTCACTTCACGACGACATCGATTTCATTGAAGAGATTTACGAATGGATTCGTTGTTTGAATCTCAAGCGGTTGAGGATCAACTACTGTGGAAAATATTTTGAAAACCTCAATGAATTAAAAAACTTTATAACACAGTAAAAAGTTTAATATTTTAATTAAAATATAAACAATAATTATAAAATAATAAATGAAATATTTAATATATTATTTTATAATTATGTTTTATAATATACGAATTAATTTTTAATAATATTTTAGTTTTATATTTTTGATATTATTTGAATTTGTTTAATATTATTTAATAATAATTTTTGTTTAAAACAATTTAATATATATTTTTTAAAATATTAGTAATAATAATATAAATCATTAATTATTTTATATTTTATATATTATTATTATTAAATATATATATATTTTTTTATATATATTATTTTTGCTACATAATTATTTCTTTCAATAATAGTAGTATTGCAACATTCTAAAAAGATTTTTTAATTTTTCAACAACTTCTAAAACGAATGTTTAAAATTCAAGTTATTTAAATAACTTTAATAATAATTTTTATTAAATTAAGTATAAAATATATAGTTATAAATAAATAAAAACTAGAATTGATGAATAGAAAAAATGAATAAAAAATAGAAATTGAGTTAATAGTAATGTGATGTGGAAATCTTTTGTTTAATATTTTATATATTTAAAATTTTTGTTTTATATGTTTAATATATATTTTTTAAACAAAATATTAAATATATTTTATCTTAAGGGCCATTTCTGCTTTTATTATTATTGAATTCCTATTTTTATTTTCAATAATTTTCCTGGCTAAAGCTGGATTTTTGACAGAATGTTTAATAACTTTTGAAAAGTCTGCCTTTCCTGGGCTTGATTTATTAAATCAAGCCCAGGAAAGGCAGACTTTTCAAAAGTTATTAAACATTCTGTCAAAAATCCAGCTTTACCAATGTCATACTGAACCCTCAACTTAATATTTTAAGCTTTTTACTTTTGAAACAGAAAATAAAAATGCCTAAATAAAAAGTTCGCAGTTTTTGGCGAACTTTTTTTACCTTCTACCGCAAAAATTTTTTTTTCTTATTATTTGATATTTTTTCTAATAAGTTGTACAACGAAATTGATGAGAATTGTGTATTCAAAAAAATCCATTTATACCCACTTTTTGAGCTTATCGCTTTATTGTGCAACTAAATAAATACCACCTATAACTTTTTATCTATTTAACTGCAATATTTTTATTAACAACGAGGTCTTACGTTATGACTAAAAGTCATCAAACGAGAACCTGTAGCGAAAACAAAATTTGTGTAGCAAAGATAAAAATTCTGTTAAATATATACTCTCCGTATATGAAACTTTTTTCAATAAAATGAATAGCAATCATTAAATAAAAACGATAATTTTTTAACTATAAATTCTAAATTAAATAACACCGTTTGTTGGTTTGCATATACTTTTTCTTTATGTAGTCTACAATGAAAATGGCAAAATTTGTTTATGTTTATGAAAACTGGTGAAATATGTTTATTGCTATTCTACAAGTTAAGGGTCGTCTATAAAGTACGTACGCCAAAATATCTGAAATTTGACACACCCTCCCCCTGTTGCCATGCGTACTTTTAAGTCCCCAATCCTCTTAAAAAGTACGTACGTTTTTCATATAACCCCTCTTCCTGTTTTTTTTTTTTTTAGTTAAAAAATTACTGAAAGAAAAAAAGGTGGAGAAGGTACCCTAGATACTTTAAAAGTATCTAGGGTACCTCCTCCACCTTTTTTTATTTTAATAAATTTTTATATTAAAAAAAAATGAAGGGAAGGTGGGTGAAAGACGTATAATATATTTCTATGGCTTTTGTTAGCCAAAAAGTATCCCAATAATAAAAACGTCATCAAATATATATACAAATATTAATTTAAATAAAGTTTAATTCTGCGTAATGAAAGAGTTCGCTTGGCAAGGTTAAAGGCAGTGGTTGTCGGTAAAATGCGATTTGCGAGCAGGTAAAATGCGAACTTTTTTAGGAACCAAAACATTGTATTTTAAAGACCATTATTGTTATGATAAAAATAATAAAAAAAAAACTCTCCAATTCTTAATTATCCGCTAAATATACCGCTAAATGAACTGTTTAACAGAAAATATACTGCTAAATGAACTATTTAACAGAAATAAAACATTACATCATTAACAACCAAAAAAGTTCGCATTTTACCAGTTCGCAGTTCGCATTTTACCAAGAACCGTTGGCAGTGACTGCGGAGATCCGAGTTCGATTCTCGGTAAGGTTTTTTTAATTTTTTTGTTTAACGAAACGCATCAAATAAAAATAAACTATACTTAAGGCAGACGTTTTTTTCAGGCACCTCTCTTTAGTAAATCCTTAAAAAGCGAGTCTTACGCGAGAAGAGTAATATTAAAAACAAAGTTTAAAACCCACTGCCGAGTGTAGATTACCCATACCGCGTAATTATACCTATGTTTATACCTATGCCGAATGAGGAGATCTTATAAAAAATTGGGATGGTTGAGACTTGTGAATAAATAGCACTGAAACGCTTGCCTCCCTGCTCAAACATTAGGGCACTTATGTAGTGAAATTTTTAACTTAACGATCTTAAACTAAATTCAAATTTACTGGTAGAATTTAAATTTCGTTGAAAAATATTGCTAAATTCAAAGGTTATGTCGATGCAAAATGTACAGCCCCTCATTTATTTATTTTGGTTGGGGAAGGGGGTCGAAAAAGTTTACTACATTAGTGCCCTCACCTTTAGGCAGGGGAGGGGATGCAAGCATTTGAGGGGTTTTTTGTTCCCAGGCTATCACCATAACAATTATTTGCAAGGGCAAATGGCATGGTTTAAACATACTTAAATTTGGAGTTTGCACAATGTGTGGAAGTGGTTTATTTGAAACATCAAAAAATCCTACGGGGGCCCATGCATATGTGTGAATAGAGAGAAACTATAGCTTCTACTCTCTATAAAATACATCTTTTTATGGCAAACTAGGATCTTTAGTCAAAATTTTAACTTATCTATTGATTAGCTGGTTCGTTGTGTAAAACTAGAAAATTGAAGTACGTACTTTTAAAGTGAACCCTTCCCCCTCCTTATACGCTATCGTACGCTTTTTAAAAACCTCCCTCCTTCCCCCTATGAGCGTACGTACTTTATGGACGACCCCTTATTTATCATTGAAGTTAAACATTTTAAAAAATCATAAATTTCCCAGAGATAAAAAATAATAATACTCGTTGGATAGAACGTTTATCTCGCGCAAGTTTTAAAACATCTAGCTACAATTAGTATATGATCTGGTTGGAATCCAAACTTCAACAAAAATAAACTAAAATAAAATTTGGCACAACTTTTCTTAGATAATTGATTTTCCTCAATTTTTTCAGATAGGATTATAGTTTATTCTAAAATTGCAAGAAACTTTCTACTAATTTTTTTTTCTTCTTTGAAAATTTCTACAAGAAACAATTATTCTCTGTAACAAGGTGTACGTTACAAAATTTGTTATTCTATCAAAGAGTTGCTGTTTTGAAAAACCAATGATATGAATACTGTTTCAAATAATATATTTTAGATGTTACGATAACTTGTAATACAAATTGTATGTTAGATGGTCTTAAATTTCTTTTGAAAATTTTTATGTGATCAAATTATTTCTTATCTTATAAGTTTTGAATTTACAAACGATTTTTTAAGTTTTATTATTTGAAATACTAATTACTAAAAATATTGTAAAATTTTATAATTTCAATTTTTATTAAAAAAAGTTATTGTAAATTCTTTTTGTAATATTAATACTTATATATCATCTTATTTTACTAATCAGTTCTTAGATATAAATACTCTTTGAATTACTAAATATTTTAAACGTTATATATTTTATTTTTTACATTTTCTTAAAATATTTTATTTGATGATTATGCATTTTTTTTTGGGGGGGGGGCTTAATGATAAGATGAATTTTGTCTTCTTCAAGCCCCAGTCATGTAAATATTTGTTTTTATAAATTACGAGTGTAAATTATTTTCAATCGGCAAATACAATACTAAAAAAAAAAAAAAAAAAAAAAAAATTCAATATAACTCTAGAATCAGTAAGAGACTCAAATAGAAAAGCAAAGGCGATATGTGATACAAATCTAAATAAAATAAAAAAATCTGAAAAAAGCCATAAAATATCAACGCAAATCACAAATAATACACATGAAGAAATAGTCTAGCTGATTAAAACGCTGTTATAAAAAACACTTTTATTACAAATTTGTTGGGTTAGTAAACTTTGCTAAAGAATTGCTTGAAAGAGAATTTAGAAATTCTTAAATAAAAATAAGCAAACTTCGACATTTAGTATAGTCGGCAAATGTAAAAAACGAGGATATATATTTTTTTTATTTAGAAAAAATAGTTAAGGCTTGGGTTAATAAATACTCAAGGGTGGGTTACAAGTATTAGATTTTCAGAAAATAATAATAAGATTTTTTTAGTTTATTAGTTTATTTCGCCGTTAAAAATATTTACAAAGTACAACAATATAAAAAGTACAATTGGCTGGAGCAAGAAGACGGCATAAAATAGCCTTATCACCGAGCCCCATTAGTAACGCAAATAAATATCCGTAATATATAATAATCCGTAATATATAAGCAAAAGCATTTAAAAAAAGACAATTTTAAAATGTTAAGAAACAAAATTAAAAAGAATGAAAAAAGAAAAAACAAGTATTAAAATAATTGAAGAAAAAAAACAAAAAAAAAAAGAAATGATTAAAATATAGAAATAAAAATGACAAAAATTTTCTGTTTTTGGTGATTCGATATATATATTTGTATATATTATTTTATTTTATAATAGTAAAAGATTCTTTTATAATAGTAAAAGACCTTTTGTCGTAATTTTTTTATTAAATGATTTTTAGCAAAATCTGAGACTTTAGGGATTTTTTGTTCCCGAGCAATAAACATCGCAATTTTTTGCAAAACATCGTTATTTGACATAAGTATTAACATATAACTGTTTGGAGTTAGCTGAAAATATCTAAAAGTTAGCTATTTCAAAGACCAAAAAATGCTTTTGGAGCCCCTAATATATACCACCTACAAAACATGTTTTAGT